GTCAGTGTTCCAGATTTGGGCCATTCTAATAGATGTGTAGTAATTTTTTTTTTTTTTTAACTGCTCCCTCAGTAGACTTTAGGGTAGGGAACACTATATCTTGCTTGTTTTCGTATCTGTAGCCTTGAGTGCAAAATGGATACTCAGGAAATGTCTGTGAAATGAAGATCTGGATGGATGCCTATGACTGTGTCAGCACCAATACAACAGTCAAAGGTCAGGCTGAAAAAATAGAAATTTTGAGGTTGCATTTTGATGAGAGGGCTCTAAAGTCACTTAGGAAATATTGTCTCACTGAAGCTCAAAAGCAGCTATCAAAAACAGTGAGAAACTGGGTAGGTAGGCAAACCTATCACTTAGGATTATGAAGTGGATTTCGAACCTTTAAGCAGATATGATTATAAAAACCAGTTCTCTTAAAGAAGGGAATGCATTTTTATGAAGGGCAGTAAGTCCACTGAAGAACAAGAAATCTCTGCCTACATACAAGTAAAAAAATAACTCTTTTTTGGGTCACTTTAGAAAAGTACTTTTCTAAAAAAGATTTATTTATTTTGGAGGGGGGCAAAGAGAGAGGGAGAGAGAATCTCAAGCAGACTCCCTGCTGAGCACAGAGATTGACGCTGGGCTCAATCTCACAACCGAGATCATGACCGGATCGTGTCAGGTCATGAAACCTGATCATGAAACTAGGAATCAGATGCTCAACTGACTAAGACACCCAGGCGCCCCTATCATAAGCACTTTTAAAAAGTAAGCTTACAAGGTTACAAAATTGGTTTAATCTTCTGAAGGTTGCTGGAGGGGACGGAGGGTAGGAGGGATAGCATGGCTGGACTATGGACATTGGGGAGGGTATGTGCTATGGTAAGTGCTGTGAAATGTGTAAGACTGATGAATCACAGACCTGTACCTCTGAAACAAATAATACATTATATGTTAATTAAAAAAAAAAACAAAACTGGGACGCCTGGATGGCTCAGTGGGTTAGGCCTCTGCCTTTGGCTCGGGTCATGATCTCAGGGTCTTGGGATCGAGCCCCACATCGGGATCTCTGCTCAGCGGGGAGCCTGCTTCCCCCTCTCTCTGCCTGCTTCTCTGCCTACTTATGATCTCTCTGTCAAGTAAATAAATAAAATCTTAAAAAAAATAAAAAAATATTGATAAATAAATAAATAAATAAATAAAAACTGGTTTAATCTTTAAGTGATCAAGTGATTATTCTGAAGCCAAAGAACTAATGAAAATGCATTGACAAGAAAGAATGCTCCAGTGTTTAAAAATGAGGACAGCTAGTGATCCAAAAATATATTAATTTCTACTTAATGGAAAAGAGAAACATCAGTCAGACAAAGGAAAAGAGGGGGGCGCCTGGGTGGCTCAGTGGGTTAAAGCCTCTGCCTTTGGCTCAGATCATGCTCCCGGGGTCCTGGGATCGAGCCCCGCATTGGGATCTCTGCTCAGCGGGGAGCCTGCTTCCCCCTCTCTCTCTGCCTGCCTCTCTGCCTACTTGTGATCTCTGTCTGTCAAATAAATAAATAAAATCCTTTAAAAAAAAAAAAGGAAAAGAGGGAAAAAAACAGAATCAGAAGAGAAAAGAAAATGGGAGCAGGTAGCAGAGGGGCATGAGGGAGAAGAAGCAAACAGCAAGAGCCTGAAATGATGGATTAGCTACCATCTATGGTCTGAGTCTCAGATATTCTGTAACCCAGAATATAAATCCTCTTGCCTAGAGAGATGCACTTACTGGAACTCTGGGAGTATGTCCAGTTGTATTGTTATCCCTCAATTTCAAAGTTTTCAACATATGATAAAGACTATATGTTCCTATTTTGCACTTTGAAATTGGGACAGGAACCAGAATCTCTGATATTTCTCAATTCAGATCTTCAATTATCTTTCTAGACTAACAGCTGAATTTTGTATGTGCCTTATAAAAATAAAATTGTTTCTGATGACTTTTGCTGCAAAAGACAAATTTAGAGGGAAAAAAAATGAAATCTCTTATTGCTCATAGAAAGTAAAGATGTTCTATAGTCTGGAGAAATGGTACTTTTTTTTTTTTAATATTTTATTTATTTATTTGACAGAGATCACAAGTAGGCAGAGAGGCAGACAGAGAGAGAGAGAGAGAGAAGAGAGAGAGGGAAGCAGGCTCTTGGCTGAGCAGAGAGCCCGATGCGGGACTCGATCCCAGGACCCTGAGATCATGACCTGAGCCGAAGGCAGCGGCCTAACCCACTGAGCCACCCAGGCGCCTGAGAAATGGTACTTTTAAAAAATATTATTTCATTAGAAATGCAAGAAGTTGGCGATAGCTTTGCAAAATAATTTGAGCAGATGGAAACTATTTGTTAAAGTAATCACTGGTGAAACTAAATTTTGTTAGGTTCTAGTTGCCCTAGAAAAAATGTTCTGCCTTGGTATGATACCCTTTCATATTACAATTCTAAACTACTCTGGCCTGCATCCCTCAAATAAGAACACCTGCCATTCCTGAACAGGTATGGCAAAAATCCAAGGAGGCACACTTGGGTGGTGCAGCAAGTTGTGCATCTGACTCTTGGTTTTGGCTCGGGTTGTAATCTCGGGGTTGTGAGATTGAGCCCCAAGTTGGGCTCCATACTTAGCATGTAGTCTGCTTAAGGGTTCTTTCTCCCTCAGGGCACCTGGGTGGCTCAGTGGTTGAGTGTCCTACTCTTGGATCCTTCTCAGGTTGTGATCTTAGAGTCCAGAGTTTGAGCCCAGCCTCAGGGTCCCCACTCAGCAGGAAATCTGCTTCCCTTCTTCCTCTGCCCATCCCCCCGGCTCGTGCACACACGCTCTCTCTCTGAACTAAAATAAATAAATCTTTTTTTTTTTTTAAGATTTTATTTATTTATTTGACAGACAGAGTTTGCAAGTAGGCAGAGAGGCAGGCAGAGAGAGGAGGAAGCAGGCTCCCTGCTGAGCAGAGAACCCGATGTGGGGCTCGATCCCAGGACCCCGGGATCATGACCTGAGCCGAAGGCAGAGGTTTTAACCCACTGAGCCACCCAGGCGCCCCTAAAATAAATAAATCTTAAAAAAAAAAAAAAAGAAGGATTCTCTCTCCCTCTGCCCTACCCTCTGGGTGTGCTCTCTCTCTCTCATATAAAAAAATAAAATCTTAAAAAAAAAAAAAAATCCAGGAAAAAGTAGGATCAAACCTTCATGTGAGATGTTCTCCATTTATGTTTTTAAGAGGGAAGAAATGTGTGATTGCCTCCTAGCAGGAGCACCTATGATCTCCCTAAAGGGACCCATGTTCCTTTATAGCAAACTTTTAGCAGAGTTAACTGTACTCATTGTCTCCATTGGCTCATCCATTCTTTCCTGAACCCACTTTCATCTGAGTTTTGCTCCAGATATTCCACCTGTTCCCTTATCAATGTCACCAACTATTTCCTATTTGCCAAATTCATTAGATTTTTTTCAGGTCTCATCTTGTCCAATCAGCAACTTTTGACATTATCTATCACTCTTTGAAATATTTTCTTTACTTGGTTTCTAGGGCATTATAAGCTCTAGATTTTCCTCTTATCTCCCAGGCCTCTCCTTAGTCTCCCTTGTTGGTACATCCTCATTTTTTTTGACCTCAATATATTGGAGGGTCCCAGATCTCAGTTCTTGGTCCTCTTTTCTTTATTTCATTTCTTTTATACCCCGGGGGACTTCAGTTGTTCCTGTGTCTTTAAATACTGTCTATATATGGGTGACTGTCAAATATTTATCTATAGCTCTGCTCTTTCCCCTAACAGAGTCAAATATCCAACTATTCATCTTCCTCCTTTGGATGTTTAGTTAGGCAGCTTAAATTGAAACATAAAAAGCTGATCCCTTGTCCATCATCCCCAGGCTACATAAATAATTACCCAGTTGCCCACGACAAAAATAGAGACATCATCCTCTGATTGTCTGTACTTAATCCATCAGTAGATCCTATCAGCATCTCCACTGCTATCAACTTGATCCCCATCACCATCAGCTTTAGCCTGTATTATTGCTTCTACCCTTTCCTTCCACACACGGTGTTACTATACTCACAACTGCCCAGTTGTCTCCCATTTTACTAAAATAAATGAGAAACTCATTACCATGGTCTACAGCCTGCCTATCTTTATGAGATGGTATAAACTTTTCCCTTTCCTATCCTACTGGTCTTGCTACTTCTAGAACTGCTAAGCTGATTCCCACCTCTGGGCTTTTGAATGGACTGTTCCTTCTATCTGGGAGACTCTTCTCCAAGAATCCTTTACCTGATTCATTTCCTCACTTCATTGAGGTCCTTTATGCCACTTTTTCAGAGAGACATTCCCTGACCACCCTATCTAAAAGGAGCCCTCATTACTCTCTTTCATATTATCTTGCCTTATTTTTCTTTATAAAAATCAAAATTAGAAATTATAATTATCTGATATGTTTATTGTCTCTGTCCCATACTAGAAAATTCTAGGAGGGCAGGTTTTTTTTGTCTTGTACACTGTTATATCCCTCATGCCTGGAAGAGGGCCTGGCATGTAGTAGGCTTTCAAAACTAATTATTAAATAATGAATACATGATAGAAATATTCATATGTTTTCCTAGCATTCCTTACTGTAATTGATGGTATTATATGTAATATAATACCATATTTTCATGAATTTGCAGTTTATTCCTCATGGACATGAAGAAATATACTGGTAGAATAACCTCAAAGTCATATAAACCCTGCTGTGGTGGGACTCCTGGGTGGCTCAATCGGTTAAGCATTTGTCTTCGGCTCAGGTCATGATCCCAGGGTCCTGGGATCTGCTGCACCTGGCTCCTTGCTCAGCAGGGAGTCTGCTTCTCCCTCTCCCTCTGCCTGCCTCTCCCCCTGCTTGTGCTCTCTGTCAAATAAATAAGTAAAATCTTAAAAAAAAAAAAAAACCAAAAAAACCCCTGGTGTGGTACATTTTGTATTCTGTTTTTACTTAATTGGAGGGGGTGGGGCACACTGTATTATTTACTTTTGAAGTTGTTACACGAAGTAACCCGAAGTGAATGTTTTGAGTACACAGTGTTTGCTTGCTGACAAGTATTTGGGAGCATCTGGTAGTGGGGAGAAGGGTGTTGAACAAAAGAGATTGTTTTGCCAGCTCCAGAGAAGTGGTGCCTTTCAAGATGCTGCATTACTTTACAGCTGTGACTTAACTTGAATAGAGCCGTAAGGTATATTTCATAATAACAATTTGTCCTGTTCTAGGAAGTGGATGAAGCGGGGGCTTTTCTTAAAGGGTTCTAAAAGCCTGTTGGTGTTTTTGTGGGGTGGGGTTATAAACTAATAAAGCTCTGATCGTCTCAGATTAGGGACTGATTCTGAAATGTGCAAACTGCTTCATGAATTAACACTGTAAAACTGGCAGTGGCTATTGTAGCTCAAAACTGAATTCACTGGCTTTGTGCATGCTTTCGGAAACTTGTTCGCTGGATGAACTCAGGGTGTCATACAGGAAATCATCTACAGAAAGAATGTTTTTTTTGTATACAGTGTTAGAATGTAATGTTGTCAAGGGCACAAATATAATCGTATTATAGACAACCAGTTGTTAAAGTGGTATGTGTTGAAAAGAGATCCTACCTGTATTTCATTGCTCTACAGTGATTTTTATCATTCAGCATGTGCCTAACATTTTTGTGTATTTTTGTGGGAGGTGACTTACACTTGACTAGTGGCAAGTATGAGGAATCTGCCTGATTCAAAGTTGTGTGTGTGTGTGTGTGTGTGTGTGTTTGAAAGTACACAGTCATCTTCAGCATTCTTTATTAATTACTCCAGTGAAACGTAAATTGAATTTGACTCACCACTAGTTCATATGCTGATTGATCCACGTATTGATCTCAGCATGTTGTCAGGCCTCAGGATCTGGCAGGTTCCAGAGGTGCTGATTATAATGCCGAGTCATGGCCATAGGCCAGAAGCTGTGACTAGACATTTGTGCACGTCGGGTGGTCTCCTGGAAAGGAGGTCAGTTATTTGGGAAGCTAGTACTTTTGAGTGACATCCTGAAACCATGCATGGATACACAGCAGATTAACTAATGAAACAGAATGATATCCCAGGGAGAACTTGTTTGAGAGGAAATTTAGCTTCACTAAAGTGAGATTAGTTGAAAGGCAGAATTATATGTTAAAAGGAACACAGTCTTTAAGAATCAGATATACACATCTTCTCTTGCTTAAATTATATGACCTTGAGTACTTTAACTTTTCTGAGCCTCAAATGACTCATTTGTAATATTGGGATAATAATACAGTAACTATCAGGCGCCTGGGGGGCTCAGTGGGTTGGGCCTCTGCCTTCGGCTCAGGTCATGATCCCAGAGGCCTGGGATCGAGTCCCGCATCGGGCTCTCTGCTCAGCAGGGAGCCTGCTTCCCCCTCTCTCTCTGCCTGCCTCTCTGCCTGCTTGTAATCTTTGTCTGTCAAATAAATAAATGAAATCTTTTTAAAAAATAATAATACAGTAACTATCAATGTTTGTGAGACCTAAGTGAGCTAATCCATATTGATGTGGTTTTAGAATATAGGTGAGGTTCAGTGGAGTTAAGTCTGGAGACAATGACCAAGGAAGAATTCTTGGGAGGTCTTTGGTGCAGAAAGGTGTTTTATTAAAGCATGGGGACAGGATCCCTGGGCAGAAAGAGCTGAAGCAGGATCTTGAGGGGTGGCTGATTTGATACTCTGGAGTTGGGAGAAGTAAGGCAAAAGAGGTTACAAAAGGATATTTATATGTTAAAGAAGAACCTCAGGATACTGGAGGCCTGGCTATTATCAAGCTAAGGTTGTTTTTACCTCTGGCAAGGTATTAACTTTAAGATTTTTGGGAGATTCCTGGAAGAATGTCACACTTGTCCCACCCTGGAGTGGGGGGGAGGGGGAGGCTGCAGGGTGTCATTTTACACGTTTCTCTTCAGCTAGCCTTCTGTTCCCTCATCACATATCAAGCATCTGGCACAGAGCCTGACACCTGGTGAGAGTTTAAAAAACTATAGTTCCTGTTATTATTATTTTCTAAATCCCCTGATAAAGTTGGTACTAGAGCCCAGATCTCCTAGTCGGTGTGCCTTCTCACTTAAGACCACATAAATTGTTTTGTCCGCAGATAAGATTTAAGCCTTTGCCATCACCCCACTTTGCTATTTTTCTCTCCTCAAGCTGTACTTCCCATTTTCCATATTTTCTTTTTCTCCAAGCCCTATTCTTACTTACTGCTTTGGCTGATTTTTTTTAGATACCTTAAATAATGTGAATGGAAAGTCTCAAATTTTGTAACACTGGTTTCTCAGTCTAACGGCAACATAAATGACATGGCCATACTTTATGTGTTTTTTTAGAGATCACTTTAGTGGCATTACAAAACTCCATTATTATTTAATTCTGCAACTTGCTCACTGCCTTTATAAATGAAACAAGAAGCTGTGGTCATTTCAGATACTTTGGAATAGTCTTTTTGTATTTCTTTGTCAAGGCAGAAATGGAACTTTTCCACAAAACCCTATTATGTAAGTGACTGCATTCTTAGGCTTGCAACATTTCTGTCCCTTACTTCTTTTACCTTGCCTTTCCATAAAGATTGTATCAGCTGTGGGATCTTGCGCCAGTCATATCTCTTCTCTAAACTGCAATGTTACTGACTACAAATATGTAATACCAACCTTATACACCTGCAGATTTGTTAGAATAATTTAAGCAGTTCTTTGTAAATTGTAAAAGATAAGCAGAATGTGTGAAGTTTTTGTTATTAAGACAAGTATCAGTAAAGGCAACTGATGATCAGTAAGGGTAGTAGAAGTTGGAGGTTGATAACTGTCTACTTATCAACTGTGGACGGATCAATTTTCCTGAATTAGTAGGAGCAAATGTGTAGGGTTACAGCAAGTTATTTTCAAAATTGTGATTAGTAGTAAGGTGCTCAGAAGCAGACTCCTCCTAAGCATACAGAGCAATTTAAGTCTTCTTATAGTCCTTTCATATACATTGTTTCCTTTAGTCTTCAGCAGGAATCTGCCAGGCTGGTGTCATTATCTCTGTTGTATAAATGGGAATTGAATTATAATTTGCTTCCAGGAACATTAGTGGTTGAGGCAGTGCTGAAATCCCAGTTGATACTTAGACCATTGTGCCTTTTGTTTTAACAAGTTCCTCAGCTATATATCTGTTTGTTTATCCAAAGATTAATTAGTCCTGTCAGCTTTTACATTCCCTGCTGTAATTCTAAATTTGTTTTAGATGCTTTTAGCCCCACCCATAACCTCCCTGTCTTGTGAATTGCAGAATCCATATCCTGGCCTGCTGGCTATTTCAGGAACACTATCTTTTTTTTTTTTTTCCCCAGTGTGCTTGTTCATCAAACAGGAAGGGAAGTGTTAGAGATTCTAATTAATGTCTCCAAAGTGAAGAAGAGAAAAAAAGAAGGACCTGTGATAATTGCCTATGATAATTCATTTCTTGAGAAACCATATTATTGGTAAGCACCTGGAGTTTCTCCAATCATGCAAGGATTATCTTCGCCCAACTCCTAGAACAAGTGAATTATGTAGCATGGCTTTGAAGAGGTGGGGAAGTGAGGCTGAAAACAGGAAATAGTTTAGGCTTGCCATTCCAAAGGAGATTCTCAGCGGGAAATTGTTTAAGCAATAGTGTTGTGTGAAACTGAGTGGGTAGAAACAGGAAGCTGCCCTCCACATTAATCTTAACAGTGGAAAATGTCTAGCCTAGTGGTTGTCATCAAGGACTCTGGTACTAAACTGTCTGGATTCAAATCCAAGCTTCATCATTTATGGTCCGCGTGACTTACAGGAAGTTGTTTAATTTCTCTGTGACTCACCTTCTGGTCTTTAAAATGGGAATGAAAATAGTATGTGCATCCAAGGCTGACTATGAGTATTATATGATATAATGTATGTATGGTGCTTAGCACAGAGTAGTGCCTGGAATGCTGTGAATGCTGAATAAATAATAGGAGGATTGCTATTATTATGGATATTATGACTTGTTACTTATACATTGTATCCTGGACAAGATTTACTGGGAAATGCATCTGGCAAAAAAAAAAAAAAAAAAAAAATGCTCAGTGAAAGCTTTTTCAGTTATTATTCTGCCAGAAAGGTCATGATGGTAAAACTGTGTGCTGGGTTGATGGTTTGGGTGGTGAAAGTAGGCTGAACAAGGTTAGGGGAGGCTTCTAGTAAAAGGGGCTTAGCACAGACTCCTTATAACAAGAAAATTTATTGTTTAGTCAGTGGAAAGGGATCATGAGATCTGGTTTTCAGACCTACCTCCGGCACACAACAATAAGTTGTGTGAGTCTGGACAGTTCATCTACCTCTCTTGGTATGTCCTCATTTTTAAAAATAAGGAGTTAAGACCAGATGGGGTTTGTTGTTAACTGTGGTTGTTAACTGTGGGCTGGGGTGGAGAGTTTACCAGAAACTGTTTTAAATTTTGTATGTCTGTGTTTTCATCCCCTATTTTCCCTTTGCCTTCAGGTTCCTTCCCCTCTTGTGAAAAATTCTGTCTTTCCTGGTAACCACATAGTACGTAAAGCACCTCATTGCTCAAGTGGCAATCTTGTAACCCGGAAACTAAAGAAAGAGTTGTCTTCAATTCATTTGTGTGAGAAAGTCTAGGTGGGGCCCTAAGTGCATTGAAATTCGGGGGACTCCTTTCATAGGTTTATAGAAAAGTGACTCAGGAAGTGACTATTCCATTTCCTACCTTTGCTTAAATGTGTTGGGCCGATGTAGGAAATATGTGATTTGGTAGCCTAAATCAAATTTCAGTAGTTTATAAAAGGAACAGAAACAAGGGATTTTTAACTCTCACCATTTGTGCTGCACATGACACAGGTCTATGAAAATATATAAGGACAGATTGATAAAGAAGAGAGAACTTCAAGATCTTTCTGGGAGCAGTTTAAGGGAGTTCTGATTGGATTTGTCCTTATTAGGAATAGGAAAGGATTTCTCTTTGTCAGACCTATGTGCTGCCTTAGATGAGAATGTAACCAGAGTGTTCATCTCAATCCATGAGAGCAGCTCTGTGGAAGATCTGTTGACAGGCCTACCTACTACTTACAGATGCTTTAGAGGACAGCAATGGGTTTGCATGTGGGCAGGGAGGAATTGAGGGAGATTTATTCGATCTTAGTGTAAGGGCCTATTTAGCCAGAGCAGCTCCATCCGGTTAAACAGTGATTTTATTGTTTATGCAGTAAAATTTAAACTGACCCTGCCCCCACCCCCCAGGGAACTTACTTAAACACAAGTCCCAGAAACCAGTCCTAGGTAACAAAGCCCAAATACAAGGGTGGGTCAGGCCAGGTGGAGGTATCCAATCAGTGGGGGCCCATACTGTCTCCTTAGCTACCAAGGAGTATGGGCCCCACCCTCTGGGCGCCTTTTGGGCGCTAATTCTGACCAAGGTGATAGGCTAGGTCAAATATCTACTAGGGTAAATTGTAATTCAATTGGCCACCCATGTGTGACCTAGCATGACTGTGCAGCTTTCTCTGTGTGTTACAATTTCATTGGCCACCTGTGCGTGGCCAAGACCAACCACATGGCCTTTGCCCTTAAAATCTAGTCTATAAGGCAGAGAGAGGTCGCCTCTTTGCAAGAGACGGCCCTGGCCGGTCGGTTTGATTCTCGATGCTTGGTGCGAAATAAAGTTTTGCTTGACCTTCACTTTGTATCAGTCTCGCTCCTTTGACTATGGACCCAACATTAGTAAGAGAAATGCTATTCTCTTATGATTTTATGAGACATAGAAAAACAAGAGCATGGTGTGGACTCAGCCTGGCTAGCTAATTGAAGGAAGACTTAAATGCTGGAGTCCCAGAGGAAGGTTTCATAACCCTCAAATGTGTGGGATCCAGAATAGGGTGGAAGTACGCTGGGTTAGGGATCATGTTTCTGTCTTATTTCCAGCTCTGTTAGTAACTTGCTGTGTAATCTTGGGCAAGTCTGAGTTTTACTTCCCAACATATAAATGAGGCTGGGCTAACATAGCCTCCAAAATACATGGCTGGCTTTATTTTTTTATTTATTTATTTTTTTTTTAAAGATTTTATTGATTTATTTGACAGACAAAGATCACAAGTAGGCAGAGAGGCAGGCAGAGAGAGAGAAAGGAGGAAGCAGGCTCCCCGAAGAGCAGAGAGCCCGATGCGGGGCTCGATCCCAGGACTCTGGGATCATGACCTGAGCCGAAGGCAGAGGCTTTAACCCACTGAGCCACCCAGGCGCCCCCATGGCTGGCTTTAATAGTTTGATCTCAAGGTTCTGTGTTATAATAATTGAAACCTAGCAACATTAGAATGTTATAGACGGTCCAGGTAGGTTGAAGAGGGTGGTACAGGGAGAGAGGGTCTCCCCTGCTTAATGAATTTATGTAAGAGAAAAGAAAGGTAATCACTGAATATTGGTATAGTGACCTTTACTCCTTAACTTCCTGTGAAATTGTTGGTTCCAGGAGTATAGACTCAAGGAGAAGTATAGAATTGGGAGTAGTGATTTTTCTTTGAAAGAAGAGTGGTTTTTGATTAAGTCGTTATGTGAAGACATGAATCCTTTAAATTTTGGTCATACAACTAATATTCTTCAAGAATGTAAAGACTATTAAGTTGTATTCTATGACAGTGAAGTGTTGTTTTAAGAAACAGGTGAAAAGTAAGATTTGCTTTCTAGAGAGGTCATTCTGGCTGTATGTGGTATGGAAGATGGTTTGAAGACAGGAAAGACTGGATAATGAAATCCTAATGATAAGTTCCTCATCTTGGAAGGGGTAGTGATAATGGGAGAGGTTGTATGGGAGAGGGAGAAGTTGAACTCCCAGGTTTCTGGTTTGGGCGACCAGAAGATGAGAATGCTATTTACTGATACAGCAAACAGAAACAGATAAAGAGTAGAGGATGATGGTTTAATACTTATGGAGCAAAAAAAGTCTGAGGCTTTGGTGTCGGTTCTGTGATTTCTTGGTAATCAGATAACTTTCAAATGCTTTTTCATCTCAGAAAAGAGTATATGTATCAGTGTATTTATCTTATTGCTACAGGAGAGTGTTGCTATGGAGATTAATGATGTCATAACTCCCACTGTGATCCAATAAGGACACTCTGGTGGGTCTGACTCAGTCTTTAGGCTGAAGGCTATTTGAAGTTATCCTATCCTGGCCAGAGCATGTGATGTATGGAAAAGTCTATGTTGGGGGGCCGATATGAAGGGATACAAGCAGTTATATGTTTATATGTTTGTCTTGCTTTTTTTTTTTTTTAACTGTTAGGGGAAAATGAGCCTAGAATCCTCCCTTTCTAGGTTATTGGTTCCAAACCTGAATTTTTCTGTTCCATGGTTCAAAGGGGCACAGTTTTCCTAATTCCTAGTTGAAGGCACACAGAGTTATCAAATGTGTTTTTAATCACATTTAGTCTTAGTTATTTGAAGTAAGATAAAGTTAAAATGTATTTTTCCTTCTTAGAGTGGAAATTTCAAGGTATTTAATCTTGGAGAAATGGCTTTCGTTCATTTGGATGTGAGACACTTCTGTACCCTGCTTATTTGCACAACGTTTGTCTCTGTGCCTTCAAATGCTGAGATAAAAGGTAAACCAACAATGGAGTAGTTTTAAAATTTAGGATATTAACTGTCTTTTCAACCTACCCTGTGGAAGTGCATAACAAGTAGATAGATTATTACTGGAAATATTTTAGGAAGTCCATACACAAAAGATATGTTCTTACTAGCCAGCCTCATGTTTAAGGTAACTAATGGTAACAAACATTTTGCAGGATAAAAGTCAAACTAAAAGACACTTTCTAGACCTTTTCGTATAGTCTTCTAAGAAATAGGTTAATTATCTGAAATCTCATTGCCTAATACTCAACTAACTGGAAACTTATTTGTGGTCCTTAATCTTTGAGATAATTAGAAATATGGAAAAATATGCAGAGATTTAAAGGGAGTTGGGGGAAATTGGAGGGGGAGATGAACCATGAGAGACTGTGGACTCTGAGGTACTAACTGAGGGTTTTGGAGGGTCAAGGGATGGGAGGTTGGGTGAGCCTGGTGGTGGGTATTGTGGAGGGCACGTATTACATGGAACACTGGGTGTGGTGCATAAACAATGAATTCTGGAACACTGAAAAGAAATTAAAAAAAATAAATAAAAATTTTTTAAAAAGTAAAATTTAAACATAATTACAGAATTATTAAATGCCTACTGAATTTTCCTTATTGCAGAAGGTAATCAGAACAATTCATTTCACAGATTTGTAACTATAAGAATTGAAACAATAGGATTGTCATTTTATCCTCAATAGAGACATTCTTTATTGGTACCTGGTGGGGGTCCCATATCAAATCATAATTTGTACCGCAAATTACAATCTTTTTGTAGATTCTTTTCTTCACCGCAATATGTATCATGAGAGGCATTAAAATGAACAAATGGGCAAAAATGAAAGGAAATTATGAGCAGAAAGGCAACATGAGGGCAGTACTATAGTACTATTAGATTTGCTAGTGAGAAAATTTATAGAATTACTTGTTCGTTTGCTTTTTAAACCACCAGTTGGGGCAGCCATTGCCGTCCACTGCTCCTCCCGACAAATAAAACGGGCTTTTTACTCTGCTCAGCTGCCTGACACTTTTTCTTAAGTCCTTCTGAAGAGTGGCCCTGGTTTTCCCTGGGATAGTAATGAACTTTAGTTGGAGAATTCAGTTAACCAGAATGGAATGACAAGATCTGCTTGTTCTAATCCTTAAGGCATTAAGCCATAGTAGTCATATTTTACATTTTCTATCCCTTTTGTGTTATATGCATATAGTAAACACTGAATTAATACTGATTAGAGAGATTTATGTAATAAAGTGTTCCCATCGTAGGCCAAATTCTGGTCTATATAACCACAGAGATAACTCCATGTTCAATTGCCTGCTTCTATGAAAATTTAGTAGCTAGGTAGGCAAAGTCATATTTGCTTATAGCAGTAATCTAGACTTTTTTTTTTTAAGATTTTATTTATCTATTTGACAGAGATCACAAGCAGTTAGAGAGGCAGGCAGAGAGAGAGGGGGAAGCAGGCTCCCCGCTGAGCAGAGAGCCCGATTCGGGGCTCGATCCCAGGACCCTGAGATCATGACCCGACCCGAAGGCAGAGGCTTAATACACTGAGCCACCCAGGTGCCCCTAATCTAGACTTTTTAACAGCTTTATTGATATGATTTCCATAACATAAAACACAGACTTTTAAAGTGTACTGTTGAGTGGTCTGTAGTATCTTCACAATATACTTGTTTAACAGCCCCAACTACTCAATTCCAGAATATTTATATCCCCTTCCCCAAAGAAATAAAATATTTATACAGTAGTCGTGTTATTTTTCCTTTCCTCCAGCTTCTGGCTACCACTAATTGACTTTTGTCTCTACGGATTTGCCTATTATGAATATTTCATATAAATTGGTCTTATGTGATCTTTTGTGATTGACTTCTTTCAAATTAGCTTAATGTTTTCAGGGCCTTTGGATGTTGTAGCGTGGGTCAGTACTTCATTCTTTTTTTTTTTTTAAAGATTTTATTTATTTATTTGACAGAGAGAGATCACAAGTAGACAGAGAGGCAGGCAGAGAGAGAGAGAGAGGGAAGCAGGCTCCCTGCCGAGCAGAGAGCCCGATGCGGGACTCGATCCCAGGACCCTGAGATCATAACCTGAGCCGAAGGCAGCGGCTTAACCCACTGAGCCACCCAGGCGCCCCTCAGTACTTCATTCTTATGGCTGAATAATATTCCATTGTGTAGATGTACTACAGTTTATTTATCCATTTACCACCTGGTGGTCATATGGAAGTAATCTAGATTTAGCAAATTTTGTCATAAGATACAGGAAAAAAAGTAAAAATATTTTATTGATTTTATTTCAGTTAATCCTCCTGAGGATTTTGAGATAGTGGACCCTGGATATTTAGGTTATCTGTCTTTGCAATGGCAACGTCCACTGTTTCTGGATAATTTTCAAGACTGCCCAATAGAATATGAATTAAAATACCGAAACATTGGTAGCAAATATTGGAAGGTAAGTTGAGCAAGCACTTGCAAACTTGTTGTGATTATTAGGACCTTTCTTGTAATTTTTGATGTCAGTGTCCACTCTGAATCCTGTATCTCAATAGCTATTATTATTTTTTTTTAAAAGATCTGTTTATTTGACTGAGAGAGAGAACACAAGTAGACAGAGTGGCAGCAGAGGCAGAGGGAGAAGCAGGCTCCCCTTTGAAGAGAGACCCCGGTGTGGGGCTCCACCCCAAGACCCTGGGATCATGACCTGAGCCAAAGGCAGACACTTAACCGACTGAGCCATCCAGGCACCCTCTCAATAGTTATTGTTAAGAAATAAAAAGCTGCCATGCCTGCTGCTATCGCCTGTGTATCCCGTCACATCTATTTTTACCCCACCCAGTATTAAGACTACCATTAGAAGTGTAGGGAAAAAAAAATTTTGATTCCATGGAATGTAGACTTGAAGAATACTTACACATTTTACTGTATTTTATGGTTACGTAAATACCTGTATAAGGGTCTTATACAGGCTATTGGACTGTAAGCTTTTTCTTTGTAGGAATTAAGCCTTATTTATCTTTGCACTTGCCTCCCAGAACACAGCATAGTTCTTTGCATATATTATAGTAAGTGTTCAGTGAAAGTTTATTGACTTATTAAGGACATAGTCAAGCATGTTCAAAGATTTCTGTTGTATGAGGCATACTGATAGCTTCCTCAATTCATAGGTAGTTTCAAGAGACAATTCAAGTACAACATTTATTGAGCAACATTTTGTGCCAGGCACTTGGCTAGGTATCAAGAATACAAGGACAAATGACATGATTGTAGTCCTCTGGGAGCTCATAGTTTGTCTGCCTTTCTCCAGTTGCCTCCAAGGTTTTACTGTATATGGTTCCTGAAGAGTTCAAATGATACTTGAAATGTGATTAGATCATTTGTCATGTAATAGGCATATGGTATCTGAAAATTATCTCTTGATTTCAAGTTCGTTATAGCTCAAGATCTTGCCATAGAGACTCTTTTCTTTTCCAGATTTTTTTGGGGTTATTTGTGGTTTTGTTTTGTTTGTTGTCATCGTTTGTTTTTAAATAGGTTCTACACCCAGCATGGGGCTTGAACTCAAGACCCCAAGATCAAGAGTCCCATGGTCTACCCATTAGACCAGCCAGGCACCCCTGGGTTTATTTTGTATAAGATGTTAAGATTCTCAAATGATACAATATGCAGAAATGAGCCTGCCTAGAATATATCTAGGACATTGTATTTGATAATCATTAGGAATTTCTTAGATATTGGGAACACTCCAGGGTGACTTCTTAGCCCTAATAATGTGGCTCATGATGCTGTCACTGTAAGTTTGACTTTGTCTCATCTTCTTATCAAACAGACCATCATTACCAAGAATCTACATTACAAAGATGGGTTTGATCTTAACAAAGGTGTTGAAGCAAAGATACACACACTTGTGCCAGCACAATGCACAAATGGATTGGAAGTTCGAAGTTCATGGTCAGAAGCTACTTATTGGACATCACCAAGAGGTTAATATAAAGCTCTCTTTTCATATTTAATACTGTCAGAACAACCCCTACAGGGCATAAGGCCCTTAACCCTTATTTACCAGATTGTATGTATAAATGAAAGTGTGGCAGCAGATAGAATTCTTCTTAGGAGTGGGTGACTGGCCTTTTTGAATCCTTTAAATCAGCAAACAAATTTGGCAAAACCTGCATCTTATTAGGTTAATATAGTTCCCAGTTTTGTTTTGTTTTGTTTTGTTTTGTTTAAAGATTTTATTTATTTGACAGACAGAGATCACAACTAGGCAGACAGGCAGGCAGAAAAAAAGGAAGGGAAGCAGTCTTCCCACTGAGCAGAGAGCCCAATGTGGGGCTCGATCCCAGGACCCTGGGATCATGACCTGAGCTGAAGGCAGCGGCTTAACCCACTGAGCCACCCAGGTGCCCCTATAGTTCCCAGTTTTGAGGTCATATTAGTAAATACGTACATGAGTATTTGCTCAACTGCTCAGAGCATCCTAGAATAATTTTTATTTTTAATTCTTTTTATTTTTAAAGATTTTATTTATTTATTTTTATTTATTTGTTTGACAGAGAGTGGGAGAGCACAGGCAAGGGGAGCAGCAGACAGAGGGAGAGGGAGAAGCAGGCCCCCGCTGAGTAGGGAGCCTGATGCAGCGTTCAATTCCAGGACCCTGGGCCCATGACCTGAGCCGAAGACAGTTGCCCAACCAACTGAGCCACCCAGGCACCCTGCATCCTAGAATTATTAATTTAGTATCTTTCCATATGCTTACACTAGTACCATTAAATGAGCCCTCAAAAGTTTTTTGATTTTTACATGCCCCATTACAGTGAAGTGACTTCTAATAATTTCCTTTTGGAATATTCCTGATTATATATCGATTGCTAAATGAAATGGAGAGATCAAAAGAAATGAATTAAATTGCATAGTGATTTCCCAAATTATTCATAACCATGCCTCTCAAGCATTGATAGTTCATTCATTCTTTAGGAAACGAGGATACCAAAGTTCGGGAAATGGACTGTGTATATTACAACTGGCAGCATTTACTCTGTTCTTGGAAACCTGGCGTGAGTGCCCATTTGGTTACCAATTACCAATTGTTTTACTGGTAAGTATTTTTATAATAAGAATTCCTTATTAAGAAAGTATCTATAAATATTATAGTATGAATAACTGTATTTTTACTAAATTAAATTTATTATTTTTCAGAGTTGCATTTATGATGAAGGTTGCTTACAATTATTTGGAGTTTTCAAGGGGAATAAGTAGGTTTAGGCTGTAGCTACTGGAAGTCACTCTATGGGTGGTATAAGGAATGCAACACTGTTCCTGTACTGGATTAAATTTTGTATCCTTTAGATATATAGGATTATAACTTAAAAAGTTTTGGCATATTTTATACTCTCTCCTTTTATTTTATTTATTTATTTTTAAAGATTTTATTTATTTATTTATTTGAGAAAGAGAGAATGAGAGAGAGAACATGAGAGGGGGAAGGGCCAGAGGAAGAAGCAGACTCCCTGCTGAGCAGGGAGCCTGATGTGGGACTTGATCCTGGGACTCCAGGATCATGACCTGAGCCAAAGGCAGTTGCTTAACCAACTGGGCCACCCAGGCGCCCTATACTCTCTCCTTTTAAAAAACAGGTACCTATTAACACTGAATCCTTTTTCTGACTTCCCTTTTTTAACTATCACTGAGGCTTTAAACTTAGAGCCATCTGAATCCTCTATCTCCTTCATTCCTTCATTGTTTCATGATAACATTGTTCACTGCATTCTGACACTGCTTTCTAAGGTTGCACATCTGTTCTTAACTTCTCTACTGTAAGAACTCTACTGTAGGCTCACCTCTGTTCCACAACTGGATGACTCCCATAGTTTCCCAAATGATGGTCTCTGCTTCCAGTCTCTTCCCTTCCTATTCATTCTGCACAGTGTAGCCAGATTTATCTTCCTATATTGCTATTTTCATATATCAAAACCTTCCAGTGGCTATTCATTGCTCCAGGATAAAAATCTTGTCTGGCATTCAAATGTCTGCCTCACTTTATCACTGCTTTTCCAACATTACCTTCTACTATCACTGGTGTGAATGTTCCACTCCATTTAGACCCATTTCTACATTTTTTTTTTCCTCACCTCTGTTATGATCTTTTATGCCTTTGTGTGCACTACTATCTGGGATGCCCTCTGGCTTTCTCACTAACCCTTACCCAACACCCATCTTTCAAGGCCCATCTGGTATTCAGTTTCATTAACTCTTTACTGATCACATCAACTTCTGTTCAGTTTCTCTCCAAACTATTACTTATTTTAGCTCTTAATTTCTTGTTCGAATGACATTTAAATTTTTGTCATATATGTGTGCTTTGTCTGGTCCCTTAAATTTTTAAGTGATTAGTGGGCACGAACTGTGTCTTACATTTCTTTTCACGGTCTGTGCTGTGCTATGGCTATCATAGATCATCACAAAATATTCATTAAATGAGAGTATTGGTACATTGATAAATATGTATCAGAATTTATGCATTTACTAAATAATGTTAAAAAGCAAGAGAGGACAAAGTGTTACTCTTTGTGTTTCAGGCCCAAATTATCATGGCTTTTTTCTTTAGACAAATCATAAGACGTAACTGATAAGCCATAAGCTATTGAGAATACTGAGAACTAGGTTCTAACGCCTGCTCTGGCGTTAGAACCTCATTGAGTTTGGTGGTCTTGGGCAAGCCATTTTCCTTTCTGGGGTTTCTTCATCTGGAATTGGCTGGGTCAATCTCTACAGTCTAATTTATTTGTTCATTAATTCAACAAATATTAAGCAATTATAAAATGCCAGGCACTGTTCTAGATAAAAAAGTATGTCCTTTTATACATTGTAGTTCATATTTAACATAGCTTTATCTTCATCTTAGTAGCCAGGGGTAAATATTGACATCTGAGGTTGCCATGAGGCTTCACATTGGCACACAGTAAATCTGGGTAAAGTCAAGCCTAAAACTCAAGTCTCCCAAACATAATTAGGTGAACTAACCAAGAGACGATAACTTTGCAAAATCTGCCCAAAGTAAATATTTGACTACTTGAAAAGGGAAATTAAAGCTTATTATAGAACGCTTGTATTTTCTTCCCTCTCTCTAGCTGCTGTTAAAAAATAAAGTAATTTTCACTATCATAAAATTCTTTTACCACCCCCCTCATGCAAATACATAACAACTTGGGATAAAAAACAAACAAACAATGGAAACAAACTGACTACTTGGCAAAAAGTGAATTCAGTAAAGTTTGGCTATTTGTATCAGCACCTGATCAGCTGCAAGCTTGGCCTAATTTCAAGAGGGATTTTGGCTGCTTTTACAGATGTCACATTTTGCATTGCAAAATATAATTTAGGAAAATACACCAGGCATTTTTGTTTTGAAAATCAGTAGGGAAATCCTCCCTAATTCCCATTAGCTTTATTACTGGAAAGAGGTTAACTTTCAATGATATGGCAACATTTCTTGTCAAAGAGAATGGGAAATTAGATATTTATTTGCCAGACAGCTTTTTTTCTTCTTGACCCCTCTGTTGGCTTTTCTGAGGCTTAGCTCTTGATGTGTATGATATCTTCAGAGGCCTTTCATTCATTTTATTAGACATAGCAGTATTTTGTAAGTCTGCTTTTTAGATGTGCTTTCTTCTAATATAAATTCTCCCGTACAATATTAAAAGAGCAGTATCACCCAGCATTATATATTTAAACCCCAGTTTTTTTAAATAGAAATCTTACTCTGATTCGCAAATCCTGTGGGCAAGTTAATATCACTTCAATACATGAGTAAGAATCCTTGCCTTATCCTCGATATTTTGTAAAGACTCCCATCAGATTGTAATCTCCATGAAATTATCAAATATGCTTTCTTTATTATTATATCTCTAGCACATAGCATAGGATTTGGCACAGAGTTGGTGCCCAATAAATATTGGATATTATTAAATGATTTTTTTATTCACTTGGTGTCTTAAAATAATTGAAAACTGAATACCATGATACTTTAAGATATTGGGAAGCACAATTCTTACAATACCTCTTTTTACAGGTTTGAGGGCTTGAAGTATGCAATACAGTGCCCCGATTACATAAAGGCTAATGGAAAAAATACAGGTTGCAGGTTTCCCCATTTGGAGTCATCAGACTATAAAGATTTCTATATCTGTGTTAATGGATCATCAGAATCCCATCCTATCCAACCCAGCTATTTTATTTTTCAGCTTCAAAATATAGGTGAGTTAAACAACTTCAAAATGTTTCTAGTTTAAGCCATTTACAATCACATGGAAGAGAAGAGATGGAGACAAAGATATAGAAAAAGTTATGGAAATGCAAAGCCTGAGAAAGGAGGGCCAAGAGAGCATATGAAGAAGCTCTTATTAAATATAAAAGTACAGGAATAAGGCATTGCATCAAGAAATTTTTTTTAAATTTTTATTTAGAATTTACAATTTATTCCCTAGCTTCAAAGAGTTGGTCTGCTGTAAAGTATTTTTGTCTAGTGTTAATGATGGAGTAATTATAGAATCCCTTATTCCCACATCTCAATGCACAAATGGTTGGATATTCTGAGTTGGAGTTCTTAGTTCTAGTGTTACAATAATGTCAAGTTTTAGAGTCAGCCATACCTGGATCTGAATCTTAGATTTACCAATTTTTAGCTGTATAACTTCGGGCAAGTTACTTTTAATGTCTGTTTCAATTTCCTTATCAGTAAAATGAGGATGATAGAGGACACTTCATAGGTTTATTGTGAGACATGAGTGAGTCTTTTTTTTTTAAAGATTTTGAGAGGAGAGCAAGCAAGAGAGAGCATTGCGGAGTGGTGGGGGGAGGGAAGAAGGAGAAACAGACTCCCTTGTTGAGCAGGGAGCCCAAAGAAGGGTTTGATCTCAGGACCCTGGGATTATGACCTGAGCTGAAGACAGATGCTTAACCAACTAAGCCATGTAGACACCGCCATGAGTGAGTTTATGATGTGACATCCCTGGTTCAGTGCCTGACACATCATAAGGTCTAAATGAGAGTTAGCTATTGATAAAAATAGTAGTGGTAATTGTTGTGGCAGTTGTTCCTAATGCTACCAAATGGAATAATGACTGTAATGATTTGGATCTTCTAAGTTTTCTTTTGGGTTTATATATTTGTCAATATGTGACTTACCAAAATTTAGTTTCCAAAATAACCAAGTTTCTCAATAAACTAGTCTTGGTTGCCAAGCAACTTTGATTTTAATTCACATTGTAGAGATTAGTCTTGACCCATCCGATTTATCTTAGAGATTTCTCTTACTAGGTATCCCTAGCTTTTGATAAGAGCTACTGCTAAACTTAATGACTTCCATGTTGAAATGGCTTCCTTTCGCTTTTCAGTTAAACCTTTGCCACCAGAGTACCTTAGTCTTACCGTGGAGAATTCAGAGGAAGTTAACCTGAGATGGAGCATGCCTAAAGGACCCATTCCAGCCAAATGTTTTATTTATGAAATTGAATTCACCGAAGATGACACTACCTGGGTGGTACGAACATTGCATTTGTTTGGAAAAAACGTAAACATAGTTTTTAATTTTTTTTAAATATAGACTTAATAAAATAAGCAAATATGAGAACCCAAATCAGTTGCTATCCACATGAGGAATAGAATATGACATGTATCTTAGTATAATTTCCAGAAAACAATAAATGTAGGGGACAAAAGAAAGATGCTTGCTTGTAGTCTGAAAGCATAATCAGTCATAGAAATTTTAAAGCTACGTTAGGACTTTAGAGATAATGTAGTCAGTTGTTTCTAATATTGTGCCAATAAATTAAAGTTGCCAAGTGCAAGTATGAGATGGGTTATGATGAGGCCTTTGGTGAAAAGAAAGGAAAACAACACAATAAAATCACTTCTTGAGGAACAAACATCATGTCAGAATTAGACTCTGACAGGGCTACTTGAATTGCTTGTAATTCAGGAAAGGGGCTGACAGAGGAAGGAGGCAATGATTGCTAGACTCATTACCCCCCGAGCAACAACAGTGTGATGATGCCTTTAGCCCTACATTGTTATATGTTAATTTTATTCATTGGTTTCCAACTTAGAAAGTGGTGGAGACGCTTAGGTGAGCCATTAGTTCTAATCAATTAATTTCACCTACGGATAAGAAGAAAACTGGGAGTTGAATTGATTTACATGTCCCAAGGAAGTGAATTGACTTACAAATTATTCAGCTATTCCCAGTCCACTGTGTTATGCTGGTTCCCAAGAAAAGATGCAACAAAATAGAAGCTGTTATTTTGGATGAGAGATACTGTTCAGTTCTTTGAAATGCAAAACTGAAGCAATTTCTTCAATGATTTTTTTTTCCCTTTGAGAACATCTAGCCTTGTGTATTCTCATATCTGAAGAAGTTTCATGCTAAGCCCTGAGCACTGTTATGTAGCTTTTATGGCAGTTAGCCAAAATAAGGAGAGAGAGAGAGAGAAAAAAAAAGACTTTATGTGTATGAACTCTGTAGTTTCCAAAAGAAATAACATTCACATGATGGTTCCTTTTGCTAACTCAGTATCTGTAGCGTATTCCAGTTTATGTAATCTGAGAAATTTGACACTACTCCAAATACTGGTTATCATAAACAATAAAGCTATGTAGACATTTTGCTCTGTCCCACATGCCTTTACTACAGGTGATCCATTATTATAGAAAAATTTTATAATACAGATAAGGAAGGGAAGAAAAAAATGAAAAAAAAACCCCCACCATGCAGAGATAATCACTATTAAGATTTGGTATATAGGGGCGCCTGGGTGACTCAGTGGGTTAAAGACTCTGTCTTCGGCTCAGGTCATGATCCCAGGGTCATTCCCAGGGTGTTGGGATCAAGCCTCACGTTGGGCTCTCCACTCAGCAGGGAGCCTGTTTCCCTTCCTCTCCCTCTGCCTGCCTCTCTGCCTACTTGTGATCTCTGTCAAATAAATAAAATCTTAAAAAAAAAATAAAGGTTTGGTATATAGCTTTCTTGTCATTTGATATGTATATTTCATATAATAAAATCTGCTACAAAAATGACAAGTCAAATGAGATCTATCTAGCTGCAATTAGATCAAATAATAGCATCTTATTTTTTACTTGGCTTTCAGACTACCACAGTTGAAAATGAGATACAAATCACAAGAACATCAAATGAAAGTAAAAAATTATGCTTTTTGGTAAGAAGTAAAATAAATATGTATTGCTCAGATGATGGACTCTGGAGTGAGTGGAGTGATGAACAATGTTGGAAAGGTATGAGATAAGAGCAGTAACTGAATAGCTATTTGGTAACAAATATATTTTCTTTCAGTGTATTTTGTAATAATGGAAATAAAAATGCTTTTGCATATCGTCTATAAGTAGGAGATAAATTAGCAAGCACCTCAAACATAGATTTATGGAAAAGAAAATTAAGTTCCAGTTTTATGAAAGTGCATTACTGATTTTAAAGTTTAACTTTATATCCCCCGTAATAAATGAATTCTATTTTAGCCAACTTAAGAACACAAGGTATGACTCTCTTTCTTTCTTCCTAATTTTCTATATAATTTGTCCTTTATTATCTTCATTCTCCTTCTGAAACAACCAGTTTGATTTTAGGATAAAACTACTTTCTTTTCCCTCAACAAAAAATGCATCTCCATTCCTCATAACCTCTCTTACCAAACATGCATATCGTACTATCCTTGCATACAGACATGTTTTCCTTATTATTTCTAGCAGCTTTAATTACATGTATTAATTAGAATTCTTAATCCTTAGAAATCTTAATTTATAGTGAAACTAAAGCAATTGTGAACTGTATATTTTGCCAACATTCTTTAGATTGGAAAATTTATGAATACATTTCATAATTTCTAGAAACATATGTTTTGGGGTGCCTGGGTGGCTCAGTGGGCTAAAGCCTCTGCCTTTGGCTCAGGTCATGATCCTGGGGTCCTGGGATGGAGCCCCGCATCCCACTTTCTGCTCAGCAGGGAGCCTGCCTCTCTGCCTCTCTGCCTCTCTGCCTACGTGTGGTCTCTGTCTGTCAAATAAATAAATAAAATCTTTGAAGAAAAAAAAAAGAAACATATGTTTCTTCACAATATAGTCTTTCAGTATAACACAAGACATGCTTACCAACAGACCCCAATATCGTAGTTTCTTTGTAATAGTGTTTAAAAAACAAAATTCAACTGTGTAAATTTGAAGATCTGATTGGCTTTATGTAAGATTTATAAATTGAGCAACATCCCATTTAGCAAATAGGAAGGAGCTCTGAGGAGCTGTATGAAATGGAAGGTTTTATAGGCAAAAGGGGGAAAATTATGGATTATTTTAGGAAAGGTCACCTTCCTTTACGGGATGAAAGGGGTCAGAGGTCTACCAGGCAGATTATCTCACTAGTACTGATCAGGTAATTCCAGACACTTGATAAAGGTCATGTCCCTGGCACAATGCTGAAACTAATTAAATTAGATTTTAAGTCTTAGTTTTCTGGTGTGGAGCTTAGCACAAGGGACTCCATTTTGAGCCTATTATCTTTTTCCTTTAGCAATAGGAAGAGAAAATAGATAAACCTATGTTCAACAATTAATGTTTTAGTATTTTATTTTATTTAAAAATGTCTTTTTTCGGGGTGCCTGGTGGCTCAGTGAGTTAAAGCCTCTGCCTTCGGTTCAGGTCATGAACTCGGGTTCCGGGGATCTAGCCCCACATCAGGCTCTCTGCTCGGCAGGGAGCCCGCTTCCCTTCCTCTCTCTCTGCCTGCTTCTCTGCCTACTTGTGATCTCTGTCTGTCAAATGAATAAATAAAATTTTAAATAAAGAAATAAATAAATAAAATAAAAATGTCTTTTTTCTTTAAAAAAAAAGATTTTATTTATTTGTGAGAGAGAGAGAGAACATGAATTGGGGAAGGGGCAGAGGGAGAAGTAGACTCCCCACTGAGTGGGGAGCCATATGTGGGGCTGCTGCAGGGCTGGATGAGGGGGTAGATCCCAGGACTCTGGATCATGACCTGTGCTGAAAGCAGGCACTTAAGGACTGAGCCACCCAGGTGCCCCCCAAATGATCTTTGTTTATTACTATATTATGGATATTTAGAGCTATCCTTCATTTAACTTACCAAGACTTTTTTTTTTTTTTTAAAGACTTTATTTATTTGACAGACAGAGATCACAGGTAGGCAGAGAGAGAGGAAGGGTGAAGCAGGCTCCCTGCTGAGCAGAGAGCCCGATGCAGGGCTCGATCCCAGTACCCTGGGATCAGGACCTGAGCCGAAGGCAGAGGCTTTAACCCACTGAGCCACCTAGGTGCCCCTAACTTACCAAAAGGTTTTATGTTACCAAAAAGAATTGGGGAAACAAAAAAATTCACCTAAAAAACTCTTATTTCATAAACATCTAATTGTTCTCAATTATGTTTATATTACTCACAAAAACTTGATAAGACATGAAACAAAGCCAACCGTCATCTCAAACTATTTTTTCATGCTAACAAATTTTGTAAGAGATAACATGAACTCTTTTGACCTTTAATAAGCCTTGGTAGAATAAAAGAATTATGTTTAATCCTGGTAACTTGAAAGAGATGCCTGTTTTAATTAAACCAACAAACTTAAAGTAGTTTTAATACCCAGTATTTTCCCAGATTATGTAAACCTGAAATTCATTTGGGTTAGTTTCTTATTATGTTTCTGAGAATTCAGTTTATATAAATGTTTAATTTTCTTTAAGTCGGTTAAATAGAATTTTTTTACAAATTAATTTTGACAGTACTATCCATAGGCAGAAAAATATCTTAAAATACATATATATAAACACACACAAACAGGGGCGCCTGGGTGTCTCAGTTGGTTAAGCTTCTGACTTCTGCTCAGGTCATGACCTCAGGGCCCTGGGATCAAGCCCCAGGAGGGCTCCAAGCTCAGCAGGGAGTCTGCTTGTCCCTTTCCCTCTGCCCTTACCCCTGCATGTGTGCATGTGTGTGTGTGCGCGCGCTTGTGTGTGCACGCTCTCTCTCTCTGTTTCAAATAAAATATTAAAAAATAAATAACTAGAAATACAAAGACAGAAAACTTATAGCTTCCATTTAAAAAGTACTGCCATTGAATCAGGTACAATAATACAAATTAGTATTTGTGAGAAGCATTCATCTAAGTTTCAAATGACCTTTTTATTTTTGAGTTCTTCTGGTAAGAATTACCTCCGTGAAGTTTGTACTTTAAAGAGATGACCTAGATAAAAGCACTTACCAAAGACACAGGGAAAGAATGCGTGTTCCTCCAACAAGGACTTTAGTTTCCTAAGGCCAGAATTTTTACAATACTTAACAAGCCTTTAGAAATAAACAGGGGAGGTTTGGGGAGCGATAAAAAGGAAGAAGTGAACTTTAAACTACCTCTACAGCTGCATTTCTCATTCTGTAAAGATTCGTAAGATAAGGACAATTACTCTTATTTTCTCCAAGAACTGGATTGCAGCCTAAATGACATAAGAGGTTGATCCTCCCATTAAAGTACCTTTTCTTCAATTTGCTTTTTTATACCACGGATCTTTGGAATGTTTTAGTAAATCCTTTTACAAAGGCTTCAGAAGGTTTTTCTTTCTGGGTGCATAATTTCATTTTGGTTTAGGGAAGGAAGCCTTAAAAAAAAATTCTTTCAGGTGCTGTGTATCAGCTTTCAGTTTCTGACCAACTTCTGACCATAGAACAGCTAAAGAATCCTTTAGACTATCTTGTGAGTTTTCAGCTGGGACAAACAGTTTTTCTGGCAGTACTTAACAACCCCCACTTGGTGTAAGAAGGGCCCCAAAGAGGATGCAAAGGGTATTACCTTCCCAAGATCCCGAGTCACTCCCAAAGATAGCCAAAGGAAGGAATCAACCACTTACATGTCCCAGGCAGCAGGAATCCAAGCCTGATTTGTAGGACACAAATGAGACAAGCAAGAAGGCATATAGCTATCTCTGGGAGAGACAGGATCAATAACCAGTGGGTCTGGATTTGAAAAAGAAGGGACAATATTAAATTTTATTTTCTTCTCCTGACTGAGCACTATGCAGAAATTTGTGAGAGCTGACTCTGGTAAGAATTCTCACCCTTTGCTGGCTTCTACCAGTTTTCCCAAGATGCCCTTTGCAGACTCCAGAATTTGGCAAAGTTTTTAATTAATTTTAGTGTTAGTTTTCCCTTGGCTGTTAAAGAGAATAACGTAGCAGTTTACGAGAAAATCCCTCAGGGTCTCATCAACTCTGGGAGGGGCCCATATGGGAACCTTCCTTCAGGGAAGGATAAATATGAGGACATTTGAGTTGATGTTGAAGAATTTGCATAGAGCCTTTGTAAAGTCTGTATAAAACTTTGAAGCAAAACTTTTAAGCAAACCTTTTAAGCAAAGGCCTTCTTTCTGAGTGTACAATTTAAACTTGGACCAGTTCACCCTTGTTCCAGAGTTGGAGGGAAACTTCTCCTGTTGCTTCTATCTGCCCCTGAACATTGGCTGTCAGCTGATCACTTGTAGGAGGGCCTAAGAGCAATTCTGGTCATATTTTGGGGGCTGGGGAGGGAGGACAGTTTTCTCAGGGAGCCATATGATTTGTCTCTTAACTGCAATACACCGGTGGGAAGAACACCCGTTAGCATCTAATAAGGTCCTTTTGAGTAGGGGTGTTGAATGGCCACTAATCTTTCCAACTCCTCTCTAAATTTGTATGATCTGAAAGCGAAAGTAAAGGGGCTTTATAATTTAAAAGAATGGCTGCTGTCCATGGGACATGAATTCTTCACAGTGGGGGTCCAGGATATACTTGAAAAGGACTTCATATGGGAAGACCTGAAACTGGTAGAGCCTGATTAAAGAGCCCTGGAAAGTAGGAATTATAAGGGATAGCAAAATGAGTCCCACCACCCTTATTGGGTGCTTCTGCTAAAATCACTTCCTAGCTTTCAGTATTTACACAAGTAACCCATATACCCTGGACCTGGAGATCAGGCAAGAGTATTCTCTGTAAATGTTAGAGGAAAGGGGAAGCTGAACTAGGCAGATGGAGCCAGATTTTGAAAAGGAGAATTTACATTGGATGTAAACTTTAATTTTTTTCTAATTTTTGTTCTTCCATTTTGTTAAGGGAGTCCCTAAGACTTGCCATATTATATTCCTTTGTGTTCCATTTATATTTTTTATTATTTTTATTTTTAAAAGATTTTATTTATTTGACAGAGAGAGAGAGAGAACACAAGCAGGGGGAGTGGAAGAGGGAGAAGCAAGCAAGGAGCCCGACGCAGGGCTTGATCCCAGGATCCTGGGATCACAACCCGAGGCGAAAGCAGATACTCACCAACTGAGCCACCCAGGCGCCCCTGTGTCCCCTTTTCAATTTAGTTTTTCCACAGCTGTCAATAGGATGGGTGCTCTCTAAAAGCTTCAATCTAGAAATCTAATTCAAAAGATCCATTTTCTGGCCATTGATAAGTACGATCTATTAATCTCAATAGTGACTCAAATCAATAAGCCTCTCTATGGACAAAAAGGTATCCCAAAGGAGAGTACACAAGATACAGCTCTCACAGGATTCAGCCTAAGAAAATAAAGACCTTTATTATGACAATGAGACAACAAAAATTGAGATGACAAAGGCCCTTTATGAACGGAGACCCCTTAAGACAAAATTCCCCTGACAGCTGGCAGAGTCAGACCAAGAAACCTAAGTCTAGACTAGTTTAGCCCAAGTTCTGGTTTTTACATTGGACCCAGGCCTAACTCCGTCTGCTCAGATCCACAGCCTGTTCAGCTCTCTGCCAAATGCACACTGGTACATGTACCCTTTGGTTGGCAGAATATTCTCACTGGTCATAAAGCCAAGCTCTCAAGTTGTAGAAAGTGACAAAAAGAAACAGAGGCAAAGGATTAATAGAAAACAAAAGTACTAATACCAAATCTTTATCAGATGTACTGCACCCAAGGAACTTGTTCCATAAATATTTTCTCCTGTTAATCTAAATTTAGAAAAGAAAAGGACTCTCACCACTCTTGCTTTCATGAGACTCTGTAGGCAGAGATCCAGGAGACTCACATAGTAAGAATTTGTGCCAGCCTGTTAAAATTTATCCTGCCGAAGACACTAACTGTTGTGGAGGAAAAATGTTCCTTCTAGTCTTCTAGGTTCTTTGGCTTCTCTAATAATTAAACTGATATAAGATAGATTAACAATAAAAAAAAGTTAATTTCATAAGTACAGGGGCCCCATGGAAATGTGAGACCCAAGGGCAATTAGGGCAGTTGAGGCTTATATGCCATCATGAGCTAAGGAATGGGATTGGGACCTGGGATTTCAAAGTGGGAGAAGTGTAATTCACAGGACAATAGGAAGAGGGGGATATCCCCACAGGGGATATGTTCCAAGACCCCCAATGGATGCCTATCACCATTGAGAGTACTGAACCCTCTATAAACTGTTTTTTCCTATATAATCTATGGTAAAGTTTAATTTAGGAGTAGGCACAGGAAGAGATTTAACAGCAATAGCTAATAAAATAGAACAGTTATAACAATATACTGTGATAAAAGCTATGTAAATGTGGTCTTTCTTTCTTTCTTTTTTTTTTTTTTAAAGATTTTATTTATTTATTTGACAGACAGAGATCACAAGTAGGCAGAGAGGCAGGCAGAGAGAGAGGGAGAAGCAGGCTCCCTGCTGAGCAGAAAGCCCGATGTGAGGCTCGATCCCAGGACCCTGGGATCATGACCTGAGCCAAAGGCAGTGGCCTTAACCCACTGAGCCACCCAGGCGCCCCTGAATGTGGTCTTTCAAAATACCTTATACTCAATCTTCCCTTCTTGTGATGATGTGAGATGATAAAATGTCTAAGTGATGAGATGAAGAGAGGCTATATTGTAGGCATTATGACATAGCATTAGGCTACTGTTGATCTGATTATACATCAGAAGGAGGATCATCTGCTTCTGGACTGCAGTTGACCACTCGTAACTGAAACCATAGAAAGCAAAACCATGGATAAGGATGTTGATGGTGGGGGGATGCTACTGTAATTACATGTTTGCCCCACCATACAGATAGGTCATTCAAATGAAAGTTGTTTCTGGTAATAGCTTGCTCTCAGACCAGGCTGCTTAATCTAAATTCTTTTATGTGGTTAAGGGAGAGGTAAACATTTTTCTTGAGTCTGCTGAGTTTTTTTGTTTTGTTTTGTTTTGTTTTGTTTTGTTTTTTAAAGATTTTATTTATGTAGAGATAGAGAGAGAGAGGGAACACAAGCAGGGGGAGGGAGTGAGAGAGGGAGAAGCAGGCTTCCCTCTGAGCAGGGAGCCTGATGCAGGGCTCAGTCCTAGGATGTTGGGATCATGACCTGAGCCAAAGGCAGAAGCTTAAGAATTGAGCCACCCAGTCTGCTGAGTCTTGATTGCCTTTGGCTCAAAATAATCCCATTGTCAAGGTGGTGTATTTTCTGGTCAGGTATTCTGCTCCCTGTTACCAGATTTTGCTCACTATAGCATTAGGTGATATAATATAAAACTTCGACTTAGTAAGAGTTAAGAGATACACAAGACCTGTTTTTCTAATCACTTACCTAATATTTTATCATTTTGGTATGAAATTTCACAAGGTAAAATTTTAAATGAAATCATATCGGAAAACAAGAATTGAGCTTTGGGGAATTGTTTTTCTAAGTGCGATGAAGAGATGTGACGTTTAGTCAAGTAATTGTTCTATATACAAATTGCACAAATGGAAGGAATGCTATACTCAAACATAACTGTGGTACCTATACACTAGCAAATATGGCAGAGGCTTCCAAGTTTAACTCAGTTCTTCAGTTACTGGCGTATTTACAAACTAATTTAGCTTCAAAAATAATTGTAAACATCTAACCTTTCTTTTTTTTTTTTTTTTAATTTTTAATCCTAGGTGACAAATGGAAGGAAACCGTAGTATTTTTTTTGATACCATTTGCTTTTATCTCACTGTTTGTTTTGGTAATAACTTGTCTGCTTTTGTATAATCAAAGGGCTTTACTGAAAACGGTAAGTTGTATAACATAATGTTTAGTCTGAGATAGTAGCTAACAAATAAATGCTCTGTGTTTAGAATTGATAGACCTATGTTTTATAATTTTTCCTATAAACTGTGGGTGTACAATTGATGTTGTATGGATTATGGTGATGTCTTCAGAAAATACAATAATTTAAAAATTAATCCTATAAAGCTAAATTTGGAGGTAGATTTACTTTTTTTGAAATATAGGAATAATGTTTTGGAATATGAAACACTATTCACCTCTAGATTAGGGAACAATATAAGGAAAGAGTTACAGGAGAAGAGCAGGATTGGGAGGAAGGAAAGAGTGACTTAAACTGAATATAGCTGAAATATATTACTAGTATGTCACAGGCAAAAATCCCCAAAATTGAAAAACATAGTGTCTGCCCTCCAAGAGATTATATACTCTAGTTGGGGAGATAGAATCCATAAAAAGTAATAATCTGTACTGTGAGCTGTTTTTAGATGGTTCCTATTTAAGCTGTACAAATGTTATACAATTTCAGAAAATGAAGGTCAGTAAAGATTGGTGGGCTTTAAGGAGAAATTGTGATTTGGAGAAAAATATCTTAATGCCAAGTCTTTTAAAGATAAAGGGAAATTTGAATGTGCATGAAATGTTTCACTGTATTTCTCTGCTGAACGCTTTTTAAAAATCTATTTCTCTGAGTTACTAATCTGAGTTGAAATAGTTTGTGTTATTATTGATTATTTGTTAATAATGGAGCTCTTTTTTTAAATTTCAGATCTTTCATGCAAAAAAAGAAGTCTTTTCTCATCAGGAGACATTTTTTTGACTCATTAACTTTCAGTCCTATGACCAAATGTTAAATATGAGTCTTATTAAACTGAAGCTTTTCACCAAATATTGAATAAATCTTGTTTTAAAAGCATTGTTGTATTTAAGTAGGCTTTAGAATACTCAAACCCTCAACTAGTAGTACATTTTCTCGATTCTATTAATAAGCTTTCTGCTCATTAATACATAGTCAGAGTACTACACATAGAGAAGTCAAGGGTTGGGTCAGATTCTATTCACTGATGTGTTAATAAAACAGTGTGATTTTATAAATTGCACTAAGCCAGAAATATTGTTGAATTCTGGAAAATGAGATTCTCATTTAAAAAAAAAAAATACTTGGGATGAGTGTATTCACCATGAGTAAAGTTGTTCGGCTTTAAAATTAACCTGTGGAGAGGATTAATAAGAAATAAGAAGTTTTCAGTACATTGATAGTCTAAATATGTGCTTTATATTTTGTGAAAAAGGTGGGAGAAATGAATGCATAGGAAGGCTGAAAATAATGAAATGAGTAAAGACATCATATTTGAAAAATCCAGATGTCACAAATATGTAGTAAAAGCTTGGGAGTTTCCTGTACTAGTTGGCAGGCCGCATCTCCTACTTTCTGATGGTGTGATTTTTTTTTTTTAAAGTTCAGGAACCAAAAGGCAGAAGCCTTGAAATTACTAAGAAGCCTTTTAAAAGTAAATATAACTTTCAGACTCATTGACAATTAACTTCTGGGAGAGAACATGGCAACCTAAGTGTAGAGAGTTGCTTTAAAACTTAGGGAATAATGACCTATAGATTACAGTCAAGAGCCAAGTTTTAGTTTGGACAAATGTCTGTTTAATATTATTCAGAGTGTTTCTTCCTTGTGGTCCACAGACCAATAGAGTAGGGATTTCTTGGGAGCTTATTAGAAATGCAGAATCTCAGACCTTAACCCAAACCTACTTAATTATCAATCTGTATTTTAAGAACATCCCCAGGTGATTCATTTGCACATTCAATTTGAAAAGCACTGATATATAGGAGCATTTTAGAATGAAATTGATTAAAACAGTATAATGAAGAGATAAGCCCATGAGCAGGATAACCACAGCTTTGACTATTATTGGTAGTGACCATTTATCTCTAAAAGGGGAAGAAGATATAAAACTGAGGTGTAAACCAGAATACCACCCTCTACTGTCACTTGTAATCAATGACAGATGCACTACCACCTTCCTAAGGCCTATCCTTGTTAAACATTAGAAGCCCCATAGCAATATATATGATTAGCAAATTACTCTCAAACCAGGTCTTGCTAAAGATGTTTTTGAAGTGTTGAGAGGTGTTGGGGAAGAAGGAGGAATGTGGAGGGGAAAATGTCAAGCCTAGACAGAAATGGAAGTCAGCCACATGAGTGGGTCTCCGGGAACAAGTATTTCAATTCCTCTCTTCAGAGCTGCATAACAAGTTTTACTAATCAAAAGATTGCTGGAATTCCTGCCATAAACCTACAAGTCCCTACCAAAATTGCCCTAATAAACTGGATATGACAACAAAATGACAACAAATCTGGACAAAAAGACAAAATGTCTTTGCAGAAGGACCCCTGGAACTCCTGGCCTACTAACTCTATAGGTTTATTAACCTTTCAATAATGTGACTCTAAATTTTCTGAAATAGAATTTTTTCACGTCCTTTTTTTTTTTTTTTGCATTATGATAGAATTTTAAGATACCAAAGATTTCCCAAATGTTTGATATATATAGATAGTCCCCCAAGTCACATCCCCCCTCTCTCCCATCTGACTTCTGTTACCTAGGGCTGCCCTATCCCCTCACTTAGAAGCCTCTCCCCTAGGACCTCCCAGAAACAACTTTAAAAAAAAAAAAAAAAAGATTTTATTTACTTATTTGACAGAGAGAGATCACAAGTAGGCAGAGGGGCAGGCAGAGAGGCCGGGGGGAGCAGGCTCCCTGCTGAGCAGAGAGCCCAATGCGGGGCTCAATCCCAGGACCCTGAGATCATGACCTGAGCCGAAGGCAGAGGCTTAACCCACTGAGCCACCCAGGTGCCCCCAGAAACGCTTTTAATAAACTTTAAATAGCAGGAGTTCTCCAGGATCCTACTATAGGGCAAAAATGAGTGAGCATGACTTCATGACTATATGTCCTGTGTAATTACACAGGTACCTATGCTTGGGGCCTTGGAAGAGCTTCAGACATGATTTAATGATCTACTGTCACCGTCTTGAAATTCCTAATGAGTTTTGAAAAAGGAACCCCATATTTCATTCTTCACTGTGCCCTCTTAATTATATATCCACTCCTGATAGCCAGCATCAGTTCTGATTAGACTGCTCAAACTATACCATAAAAACATCCATATCCATTTATGACTATGATTTTTCCCCAGGAGGTGTTGGTCACCAGCATTACTTGTCCTTCCCAGTTCTGTGTTGCAGAAGCTCTGTTCTTGGCAAAGGACTTTTGAGGCTCCCTCCCTTCACCTAGCTCCCATTCACAGGCGCAACAAGCTGAGAATACTGGGTTCCAGTAATCTTCACCCCAGCTTCCATGTAGGACTAAGGTTCTATGCTGGAAGGGACAAACCAAGAAGATCAGAGATGTCCATTCCCTTCCTGCCCCCCAGCCCAGAGTCTTGCTTCTCATGGGTGATACTGTAAGGGTAAATGTTCCTGCCCCATCTCTGGAGCAGTAGCAAAGAGTTTCACATATGGCGAGAGTCAGGCCGGAAGAACAGAGAGCTTGGTAGCTCTCTCTAAAAGGGCGGACTTTATTTGAAAGAGACTAGAAAAGTTCGTTTATGGATGCTGTCAAAAAATACAGATCTGTGGCACCTGGGTGGCTCAGTCTGTTAAGCATCTACCTTCAGCTCAGATCATGATCCTAGGGTCCTGGGATTGAGCCCTGCATGGGGAAATCCCTGCTCAGCAGGGAGTCTCCCCCCCCCCCCCGCCATGTGTGTATACTCTCTCTCTAACAAAAATCAATATCTTTAAAAAATGCAGATTTTGCTGATAAGCAAACATCATACAAAAAGGCAGAGGAGGATAGAGCTACATAGAAGTAACATTTCCCTATCTCACTGTTCTTAAGTTGGTATAAATTCGAAATAGGTCTGAGAATCCTAGGGTAACCAAGAAAATAAATTTTAAAAATAATGAACAATTATTAAAATAACTGAAATACTACATTAAAAATATTCACTTCAAATGAAGACAATACAGAGAGAAAGAATAAGAAAATAACATGAATCATAGGAAAAACATAAAATGACAGTTATAAAACCAGTCATATTAATAACAATAAAACTGAGTTAGTTAATCTGTACAAAAAGCAGACATTTTGAGACTGGAATGAATGAATGAATGAATGAATGAATTTATTTCAAAGATTTTATTTATTTATTTGACTGAGAGACAGCGAGAGAGGGAACACAAGCAGGGAGAGTGGCAGAGGGAGAAGAAAGCTCCCCCCGAGAAGGGAGCCCAAACTCAGTAATAATAGCTATACTTCAATAACTCACTTTATTCTTTTAAAAAGATTTTATTTATTTATTTGAGAGAGAAAGCACAAGCAGGGGGAGAGAAAGAAGCAGACTCCCTGCTGAGCACAGAGCCCAATGTGGGGCTCAATTCCAGGACCCTGATATCATGACCTTAGCCAAAGGCAGACACTTAACAGACTGAGCCACCAAGGTGCCCCAACAACTCACTTCCAGTGATGGAACAAGTAGGTAGAAGATCAACTAGGAAACAGAGAACTTGAACATAATATAAACCTGCTAGGTCTAACACATCTATAGAACAATTTATCCAACGGCATCAGCATACAAATTCTTCTTAAGAGTATATGGAACATTATCCAGGATAAACCATATGCTAGGACATAAAACAGAACTAAACAAATTCTAAAGGCTCTAAATCATTTGAAGTATGTTCTCTGACTACAATGTAATGAAATTAGAGAATAATAAAAAATAAATATTTAGAAATAGACAAATATGTGGAAATTAAATAACACACTCCTAAATAACCAGTGGGTCAAGGAGAAATCACAAGGGAATATAGAAAATATATTGATAAGACTGAAAAAAAAAAGAAAAAAGAACAGAACACAACACACCTAACTTATGGGATCCAGCCAAAACAGTGTTTAGCAGGAAAGTTATAGCTACAAATTCATATATTAAAAAGGAAGAAAAAATTCAATAATGTAACCTTCCACTGAAGAGATTGGAAAAGAAGAGCAAACTCAACCCAAAGTAAGCCGAAGATATTATGTAATAAAAATTAGAGCAAAATAAATGAAATAGAGAATAGAAAAACAGAGATAATCAAGAAACCAAAACACGGTTATTTGAAAAAAATCAGTAAGTTGACAAACCTTTAGCTATATTGATAAAAGGGAGAGAGAAGATTCATATTATTAAAATTGGGAATGAAAAAGAAATTACTACCATCCTTAGAGAAATAAAAATGTGTATAAGAGAGTATCATGCCACAAAGTAAAAAACTTAGATGAAATGGACAATTTCTTAGAAAGACACAAATGACTGAAATTGACTCAAGAGGAAATAAAAGACCTAAGAGATAGAATTAGTGACTTTTAAACTTCCCCATAAAACAGCCTAGGCCCAGATGGCCTCACCGGTGAATTCTACCAAATATTTAAACAAGAATTCATGTCCATTCTCCACAAGCTCATTCTAACTGTAGATGGGGAAGAAACATTGCCCAACTCATTCTCTGAGCCCAGTATTACGTGGATGCCAAAACCAGAAGGCAGTTATTTTGTAGGAATTTCTTCAGTTTTGGTTCACTGAGTGTTTCCTCATGATTAGATTCATGTCATACATCTTTGACAGAAACATCACAGAAGCAATGTTGTGTTCATCTCATTGCATGTTATCAGGTAGTGCATGATTTCAATGTGTATCATTATTAATGATATTCACTTCGTTAACTTCATTAAAGTGGTTGCTATCAAGTTTTACCCTGTAAAGTTACTCTCTCTCCACCTTGTAATTATTAAGTATTTTGTATATTTTTTTTTAGATTTTTAAAAAATTTATTTAT